ACCGCCCACTCAACACACAACAACTCAAAATAATACGTTCGTCAGAAAATGCGAAAAACTATTTCGTAGCACATACTAATCATATGGGCAGGGCGACTTTACCTTAGGTTTTTTAACAAATTATAACAAAAATTTGCTCCAGCTTTTGCTGAAAGGTAAATAAAAGCTCTGTGTACATTTTTAGTGCATAATTTCAAAAATGCCAAATTTTGAGCTGTCTCTTTTGAAGACGGTGTGCGATATGTATCCCGGTAATCGTTCTACCAATTTGTGCCAAACTCGGTACAGTTATTGTGCTTGCCACATAAAAGCAAAACGTTGAAAATTATTGAAATCGGACTAAATTTACGGCCGCTTTTCATATAACGGTAAATTTCACCAATCCTTGAAACTGCAATATTTCGAAATCTAAGGACGCTAATTTACTCAAAGTTAATACACCCCGTCTTACCATCTAGCGGTAGGTTTCGGAAAGGTGAAAAAACATATATTAAATACTTGCGCCGGGTATTTAATGTTCGGCTCCGCCCGAACTTAGACTTTCTTACCTGTTTATTTTGAAATAAAAAAATATTTAGAGGTCGCTCAAAGTTTTTCGTGTATTTTTATATGGGAAAAATAAAATTTTTCGTAGAAATGGTACAGAATTCTTGAAAATCAATATTTTTCGATCGGAAAACTCTGGGTCTCTTCAGGAGACTTTTAATAATAATACTCCACCCAACCATTTTTAATATTATCGATTTTTTGTTGGTCGCCCGCTTGTATTTTTCGGGTTTTTGGCGGACCTATAAATTATAGTTGCGATGGAAAAAATGGTTAAATAAACAGTTGGGTATTATTATTGGGAACCTCCTGCAGATAAACAGAGTTTCCTGGTAGAAAAATATTGATTTTTAACTATTCTATACCATTTCTATGAAAAGTTGTTTTTTCCCCATATAAAATATATGGAAAACTTTGGGCGATTTGAGCGACCGCTAAATATTTTTTGGTTTCAAAATAAAAAAAATTACGCAATACTATTTTTCGGTATAGAACAATCCTAGGGGGTGAGAGCATAACAATTCCGACTTTACTTTTTTACATGCATTTTTGGACCACCCCAATGTACAATGTATGAAGTATGTGTGGGTTAGGTTCCGAAAAGTATCAGTTTGTTCGAGGCTGGTACAAAAAAATGAAGGCGGCGTGGCACCACCGACCTTTACAGCTTGAAAGACCAAATACCAAGGAATTCAATGGTATGCTTTTCTTTCTCCTCCGACTACGGGGCTCCTCGGGCGAGCCTATTCAAAATGGGGAAAACATCGTTGCTTTTGCTCACAAAATGCCACAACTGTTTAAAACACAAAAAAAAAAATTAATTGCTCGGATTTAGTTACTTATTAAACGTTGATGCAATATAGCACTTTGACTAGTTACTTTTAATAACAAATAGCCAAAACACGAATTAGAATAAAACAAGCAAGTTGAATTAAATAGCTATTGTAGTAGTTGCCAATCCACCAATATTCACAAAATTACAATCAGGTTAGACTAAGCCTTTTAAATAGTACATTTTCTTACTCATAACATAAAACCCAAAACACTCTACTTTAAAAACGTGCTTAAAGGATTTAATAAAAAGTGTTTAAGAATGAAAGATTTGATTTAAAGGCAAAAGAGGAAAAAGTGTAGCATAGCGACTCCGGAAAATATGAAATAGTGGGTATGGTCCTCCCTTTCTTCCTGATATGAAAATTTTAAAATCTTAAAATAACTATATTTCGTAAAATACTGCACTGATTTTTACGAAATTAGTAACTGTTCAGGTGCCTTTCGTATGATATGCATACCCGGTTTGAAAGTAAGTCAGTTAAAAGAACAAAATTACCTAGCATTTTATATACAATCTGGGCATAGGTGCAGTATAGCTACGGTGACCATATTAACCAATGTAAAATAAAGGACATCGTATGATAAAAGTACCTTACCCATATCGTAATTTAAATCAAATATTTACCAGTTAATTAACCAATTCCGAAAAATGAAGCCAAATCCTTTTCAAGGACTTCGCCATCCTTTGCTGCCAAAATACATTTACAATAATTCATACTGCATGCCGAAGTCAGCACACAGTAGTTCAAAATTGAAATTTAATGTTCATAATTCACCGCAGCCTTCATTTTTCAACCAATTTTTACTAAAAACCAAAAAAAAAATATATTTTTTATAACATTTCAAACATTTTTGTAATTTTTTCGTTTTGGGGAACCATACAATTGTTTTTAACTAGTATTTGTTATGTAACATTTATTAACTGGAACAGGAGAATACATTTTCTGCAAAATTGCCACTTTTTGCTTGAGAGATGAGCGTTTGTGTCAGTGGTAAACACCGTACATGACACTTGGTGACGGTTATTTTCGATCTCTGCCTATGACCATAAGAGATATTATTAATTTCTCTGAGCAAATTAAATTATTATTTCCTATTGAAGATTTGGTAAGATATTTCAAAAAGCATAAGTTTTAAACTTTAAAATGTGCGCATGTCTAAACATACTAACTAATTATTTTTATTTTTATACAGAGATATTATTGCCACCGACGCAGCGGGAAAAATCCCACTGGAAAATTATACGACAAAGCAACAAATGTTCGTCGAAAAATCAAAAGGAGTTCGCAAGCCACGGATCCTGGAATCGATACAAAAACATGTCAAATAAACGAATAATCAAAAACGCTACCTAAAGGTATCAATTATGTGTTATGCATGGTTATATACATACAGTGGCGAAAATATAAACAGGGAAGAGACATTTTAGCATTATTTGGCTGTTTCCCTTTCGTTTATTTTATCTTATAAGTAAAATACAGATATTCTATTACTAAAATTAGCTTTAAACAATTTTTTTCAAAAACTGGACTTATATATTTAATTATATGAGCACAAGTGTATATTCATCTCAAGATTTTATTCCGTAACTATTTGATCGTCTTAAAAATTTTCAATTTTCAAATTTGGCGATGATGCATTGGAAAAAAGTGTGGCAAAATTTGGAACCATGGAGTATTGTAGAGCAAACATGGAGACACAATTTCTTTAAGAATGGAAGACGTTGAATGACCACTTTTTAAGCATTCAGTTGGTTATTCTTTGGTTAGAAAAATTACATTTTTTTTTTACATACATACATGTGTATTAAACATCTTTTTTCTATATACATATAGATTGAAATTGACTTCGAAGCAAAATTCCCAAAAAAATCACAAAGCTTGTTGAATGGATGGCTTAATTTTATGAAGAATATATGTAAGTAGTTCCATATATGAAGGGGAAAATAAAAGATGGAGTCTCGAAAAACATGTTTGCTGAAATTGAAAAAAACCAAATTCCGGTAATTAAATATTTTGTTATACAGCCCGCGACAAAACGATGACATCTCAACATACTAACTAGCAGACCCGGCGAACTTCGTCCCGCCCAAAATTAGTTTTTTTTTTACTGAAATATTTTGGTGCAACATTTTCACCAACAATTCACGTTCACGATTTCCGGCGATACATTTATCTGCTAATATTACGGTTTGGTGGTTGTCAGAAGGGATATTTCCATTATCGTCTTTATCCAGCAAACACAGTCTCTAACGTTAGAGAAATTTGGATTTCTACATTAGATAACTAGGGTAATTCTCTAATCGCTCTCAAGTCGATGACGAAGTTAGAGAACTACATTAGAATTCGATTCGAGAACGATTAGAGAAACAACGCAAATTCAAACAAATGTAAATAAGCAATATTCCAAATGAATGAATCATAAATAATGTTTAAGTTCAAATAATTCATTATTATTTTATTTCAAATGCATTCAAAACAAATTTTACAAACAATGCGTGTTATTTATTAGCAAGAGAGCAGTTTGAAATTCACATTCGAATCCCATTAGAGATCAACATTAGAATTCGATTAGAGAATTAATATTTTCTTATAGTCGAAAACTATGTTCCATTTTTGTTGAGTCCGCTATGATTCTCGAAATTTTTTCGAGTCTTTCTCTAACGTTTGAGATTGGAGAATGTAGCTTGCTCTTCAATTATTCTCTAATCGATAACTTACCTAAATGTTTGTTGGGTAACAATCTAACGAAAGTGTATGTTCGTGAAGAAGTTCTTGAAAATTCTCCAATGATCTGGCGTTTCACAGCATGATGGTGAAGCTGTCCTTGAAACTGTATGGTATAGTTGGTGGCAATTTAAAAATTGGTGAGTATCGTTGTATTACAGAAATCCAATATACACAGACTTATTTTGCAAATTTTTTTCTGTTTTAAATGTTTTCATACATTCGCAGTGCAATAGGATTATTGCGGCTTATTTAAATTATTATTATTTTTTGATACAGCAATACATTTTCATGTATAAATATTTTATCGAATGGTGGCAGCCCTATCAAAATTTTTTTCTATATTAAACTTTTATGCATTCTCAGTGAAATATCATTATTACGGCTTTTCACTTTCATTTTATTTTTGATATTTCAGATATCTTGCAACACCGGGTTTTCAATTTTTTCTTTACAAGCCTTCTACAGACGGAGAGAAACAAAATGAAATAAAAACGAAGCAAATCCGTTGAGCCGTTCTTGAGTTTTGCGATAACACACGAACAGCAATTAATTTTGATATGTAAAGATTTTTCTCGAGTGGTGGCAACTCTATTCCAATTTTTTTCTATCAAATTTCTTACATATTGCGGCTTATGTAAATTTTAATATATATATATATATATATATTTTTTTTATTTTTGAAATATTTGGCCACACCAGTTTTGTGAAAAAAACCATGCCTATTACCTTTCTGAGGGCAAAATATAGAACTGTGTACATTTTCGCGTTATTCGGTGGTGTTCTCCGACTCCGTACAGACTTTCACATTTATATATAGAGATTAAATTTTAGAGTAATAAAAGGCACGCATTTTTTTCCACACAAAGTAATGTTTTGTATGGAAGAAAGTGCATAATAATATAATATAATAATAAATAATAAAATAATGAACATTAAAAAACAAAAGCAAAATAATCAAACTGATCGAAATGTTGAGGTGCTATCGTTTTGTCGCGGGCTGTAACTCATACTTACATACGTATATGCATAAATGTAAATTAATATCCCTACAAGAATTCGGTGATGGGAACTAACACGTTCTCATTTATCTTACTAACACATTTGCAAATTTTGCGTTGGTTAAAAAGTAGGGTTACCAACTTGTCTTAACGAAAATCCAGGACGCAAGTTTTCTGCAATTTTTCTGGATCACGTATTTTTTTCAGAAGAGCTAAATTTTCGGGTTGCTTTTAAAAAATTATAGAATGAAAAACAACTGAAAACAGAAAAGTTGAACTTGACTGTAACGATATGGCGCATATTTTCGACAAATAATCGATTTCTCTCTTTCGTCCATTGCGAGACATAAGTGAAAAAATCCTTTCACAATTTTGAGTAGATCAGAGTAACATTCCATGTCGCCATTTGAGGCAAAAAAAACATATCCGGGAGCTTGCACACGTGTTATAGAAAAAATCATCATCGCCGACTGTCGATGACAAAAATCGTTTCAAATTTAGAACTTGATCATGCAGTTTTAAGTCATTGATATCAACTTTTTTTTTTAACAAATACGAANAATTTTTTTTTTTTTTTTTTTTTTTTTTTTTTTTAATTAATTAATTGTTTCTGAAAATGACTGGCGAATGTCGGCCAGTCAGATAAATCGCTGACCATCGTCTGAGTCCCTGTAGGAGAGGGCAAGCCTAATGGGTTGATTATCGATAGCAATCGAACTTCAGTTGCGTTGCTAGTTGCCAAAACGATATTGTAGATGGCAACTGGCCACTTTCAACTGACAACAGCAGTTGCTACAAAGTGTGTATACAAGCGACTACATTTTTGTGGTTGCTGGGAATGGTTTTGGAGCGTGTTTAGGAGCGAAAATTGAAAAATGTGTCATATATTTTACTTTTTAATAATTTGAACGATATTAACATTTTGCAATGCAGTTTGCTTTTACAGAATATGGTGAAAATAACCAAACCTTAACTTGAAAATTTAGTTCCCGTGGAGTACGACCTTTGGAGAAACAAAAGCAAACACTGATTGCAAATTTTTTCCTTAATCAACTGAAGCACCTCTTTTGAAACTACCGACACACAAAGTTTTCCAAATTGAAGTCATTGCTCTGGCACTTCCTTCTGCGGAAAATCGAAGAGGTGCGCAAGCTTTTATGAGCGGAGGTACTGAATTTGAACGAAGAGGTTCAGCTGTTTATTAACCAATTATACTACAGCTCCTTTTGGAAGTCCTAAATATGCTTTGAAAATGAACACAAAACGATAATAAAAGAAAAACCTTGAAAGCATTAACTTTTGCTTACAGTGCACGCGAATGCTCTACAGGATTGGAATTATCCTTTAAATGTCGCCTGATTGAGGCCGCGTTATGCACTTCTCTTCCTCTTAAACAAATAATTGTGATGAACTTAGCCCTATTGCTATCTTTTCTTTAAAACTCTTTATTTTAATAATATTTAATTTTACTCGCACAGCTTGTTTACATCCTCTTGCTGGTTGTCCATCTGCCAAATTTCGATTATCGATAACTCTACAGCAACTGACGATAGTTGCCATGCGTAATACAAATTTTCTTTCCAGTTGCGTTGCCAGCTGGTAACCTAACCGTGGTTGCGTTGCTACCCGTAATCGACCCATAAATGTCTTATAGTAGTGTGGCTGATGGTGTCTAACATTTTATACAGATCCAACACTACTAGGACTGTTCTCTCCCAGAGGCGGTTTCGGTTTAGGCTATGATTTTTTCTGAATGTTTATGGCGTTAAGTGCTGCTGTTGTGCAGAGAACTTTACGGGGAGTAGCAAGCCATCAGGTGTCCTGGCTACTGAGGAAAGGAGGGTTATCGGACGATAATACTATCCTTTTTTGGCCGGTTTCCCCGGTTTGAGCACTGGGACCACTCTACTCGTTTTTCAGATATCTGGGCCGATGAGAGTGCCCATGGACAGATTGAGGACCTTGGTTAGAGTCTACTCCCGCAGGACCCAGTTTTTTCAGCATCAGCATGCATATTCCCTCGGCCTTTTGGACGGTTGATTTTAATTTTTAGTAATTTTTAGATTGATCTTAGGGGTATATGTAGGGTTCAGAAGTATGGGTTATAATGTTTAATTTTTACTCTCAAGAGCCACGTCCAAGGCGACTTCTGATGATATCAAAACGAATTGTGCTCATTGTCAAACTGATGTCTGTTTTTTTTGGTTTTTTTTTTTTTTGCATTATGAGAGTGCAAGATGTACTGACGAGATGTATGGATCGCATTTTGAAAATGCTACAACTTCAATATTTATGACGGTGAAATTTTGTGATATGGATCACGATCCATCAATATTGCATGCTACACGTCAATAAATATCGCGAGGAACAAATGCAGTTGGGCTCCAAATCTCAAAAAATATATATATATATATATTGGAATCGATAGAGATGATTGAGCTGAGTATAACGGTATACTTCTTTTTTTTGGGCAAACAACAACGGGAATTATCAAAGGTTAAAGATCAAAATAAGCTATTTTTGAAATCAATATTGTTCAAAAACGAATGAATGGATTTTGAAAATTTTGATCTCATTTAATAGGAAATTTGATTTCCTTTAATTTGGTGTACGTACCTTATAAATATGTTGTATAGTTCTTACAAAAAATGAATTACTGTAAAATAATAAAAAAACACCTTTTGCAGAGAACACCTTTCTGCAAAGGCAGCCTTCGGCCGCACTTAGGGATTATAACCCTCACAAAGTAGAACTCTCTTTGTGTTTTGCGAAGAAAAGGCACTGAACACCTTTTACAGAGAACACCTGCGTAGGCGTAGGCGGCCTTCGGCCGCACTTAGGGATTATAACCCTCACAAAGTAGAACTCTCTTTGTGTTTTGCGAAGAAAAGGCACTGAACACCTTTTGCAGAGAACACCATTCTGCATTGGCGGCCTTCGGCCGCACTTAGGGATTATAACCCTCACAACGTATAATTATCTTTCTGTGTTGCGAAGAAAAGGCACTGAACACCTTTCTGCGTAGCAGAGGTTTACGCCGACAGGCTTTGCGGCGGCGGCGTGGTCACCTTCAAAAATAATCGGCGGCGGCGGCGACGCCGGCGCGTCTGGAAACGCCGGTGCTACTGGTAGATTCCAAAGAGTCATGAGGATACCAATCTTATCATGTCATCTCGTCAGCGTTAGGCATTCGCCATGCCAATTCAGATTATAATTCCATTTGTTTTATTTCATAGTTTTGTGGTGGTATTGTGGGTGTGAAAGGTCGTGTTATAGTTAGCTCCGCGAAGTTTTTTAAATTCTGCGGTTTTATTAGCTTAACGCGATTTCAAATGCAAATAGCGATTCATATATATAATCGGAAAGTGAATTTTTCTAAATAGCAAAGTGATAGTGACACTAGGTTAATCAAATCAAATTAAATTAAAATATACTTAGAGACTAGGAAGAAAACGTTGAAAGTGAAGAGAATAGTGATAGGCGAAAAGGCGCGCAGCAGCGGCTTCGTGCTTTACCTCTAGTAAACACAACACATACACACAAACGCAAATAACGAGTTGTGAACCATAATAAACACAAGTGTCGATAACACCGTGCGACAAGGCTTGGGACGTCAGCAAATAAATAAACAAACACTCAAAAGTGCAGTGAAGTGTCAGTCAAGAAAATGGGTGACTGCCATAAGTGCAAAGGCCTAATACGCGGTGAGAGTGGAATCCGCTGTGAAGGTATATGCGGCAAAGTGTTTCACTGGGCAAAGAAATGCTCTGATCTCGATGAGTTCAGCAAAAAAGTCCTTGCGGACAATGCCTATGTGCGCTTTATGTGCGATGGTTGTCTCACATATATGCATAATATTGATGAGGTGTTGCGAAATATGAATATCTCTATAGCGAATAATAGTAAAAACATACATAAAAGAGTGTAAAGACGACTTTCAAGAGTCGAAAAAATGCAGGTTAAAGAGCTAAAGCTCCTTTTAGAAGCTATAGAGAGGAAATTCGGTGAGCGTATAGATGCAATGCAAAGAGTTCAAAAAACATGCGCAACTAGCATAGCTGAGGCCAATAAGATGAAAGCTGTAGCTAAAGATGTGAAAAAGCATAGCCAAGATCTATGCGAGGCTATGGTAAGAAATGAGAGTGAAAGTAGAAAAATATGTGAAGA